GTGGTTACCGGGATCGGATTGGGGCTCCGGGAGTTAGAGTAGGTATGTGGTGTCATTTGTGACTTGTGTGCAAAATTTGAAGTCAAATGGACGTGATTTAATAGGTTTCGGCATCGAATGTGTGGAAAATAGAAGTTCAAAGTTCATTAGTCTTGAATAGATGCGTGGTTCTTGGTTTTACCTTTGTTTGATGTGATTTGAAGGCTCGACTAAGTTTGTATCATTTTTTAGGACTTCTTAGTATATTTGGTTGAGGTCCCGGGGGCCTCGGGTAGAGTTCGGATGATTATCGGACCAAGTTTGGAGTTATAAGGGGTGTTTTACCTGGAGTCTTCATGTGCAATCGCACCTACGGAGATTTGGTCGCAAGTGCGAGCTGGGAATATCAAGTGAGACCTAAAGAGGATTGGCCAGTGGTCGTAGATGCTATTCAAAACGGAGTCGCTCTTGCAAAAAGGTGGTCGCAGAAGCGGAGAATGAGAGAAGTTGAAGGGGTCAGGTGTTTCCGCAGACCCGACGTGTGAGCGCAGAAGCGCTTCCATAGGTTTAGATTTTGGTGCGCAAATGCGGAGTCTGGGAGCTTAAGTGAGCTCTGTAGATGCGGAGGTTTCACTGCAGGTGCAGTCCCGCAAAAGCGGAAATTTTGGCCGCAGGTGCGAAAGCATTGGGCAATGTTTAAATTCGAGGGTTTTCGAGATTTTAATCATTATGGACATTTCAATCTTGGACTTAGGCGATGTTTTAGAGAAGTTTGAGGGGTTTTGTTGAGGTAAGTCGCTTGTGGTTAAATTTATTCAATAATTATGTTTCCCTATTGAATTTCCCACCTAGATTGTGTAGTTTTGAGGTGTAATTTTGGGAGTTGAGGCTAGGAATTTGGAGAGTTTAAATTGAGGAATTTGATGTCGATTTGGTGTTGGATTTTGATAAACTTGGTATGGTTGGACTAGTGGTTGAATGGGCTTTCGGATGTTGTGACTTTTATCAGATTTCGAGACGTGGGCCTGAGGCCGACTTTTGAGTCGACTTTTGACTTTTGATTAATAACTTAGTGTTTCCATATGGAATTGATTTTCTTTAGCTCGTGTTGATTGTATCGAACGTTTGTGGCTAGATTCGAGAAATTTGGAGGCCGATTCGCGAGGCAAGGGCGTGTTGCAGTAAGAATTTGCACGGTTTGAGGTAAGTAACAGTTCTAAATATAGTTTTGAGGGTATGAAATTCCTAATTACGTGTCATGGGAATGGTGTTGAGGTGACACACATGCTAGGTGACAAGCGTGTGGGCGTGCATCATAGGAATTGTGACTTGGTAAATTCCATGGAACTGTATAGTTGAATAGTCTGTTGTTATCCGTATATTGTCAATGTGTTATAGAAATTAAGCTACAAATCATGTTAGAAATCATGTTTAGGCTATATGTTGGTACTGTAGGGACTCGCAAAGGTCGTGTTACATGTTGAATTATCAGCTAAATTGCCATTTTGCACCCAATCACAGTTTTTACTTACATATTATATCTCAATCTCTGTTGTTCTTTATTGATACATTTTATCATTGTTGTTTGGGCTGATTATCATGATTATTGAGAGCTCGAGAGAATGGAGAGATTGATGACTGAGTGAGGACGAGAGCCTGATTGTGAGGATATTTATGGGATCTAGCTACACGCCGTAATATGTTTTATTGATTAACGTCGTGAATGGCTTATTATAACGCTTGGGCTGAAGGAGCCCATCCGGAGTCTACACACCTACAGTTAGTGCAAGTACCTACTGAGTGCTAGTGCAAGTGCCGAGCGATTGGGAGGATTGAGTGATTGTGAGGATGGAGTTAATGGGAGGACTAAGTGACTGATACTCTAAGAGTATGTACGCGATTTCATTACTATTTGTACATTAGTTGGCATATATATGACCGTCATGTAGTTACTGAGTTGTGCCATATTCTGTTTCAATTGAACTTGACATGATTTAACTATTTTGGCTTTAACTGTCGAACTTGGAAGCATGCTTATTTTCCTATATTGTATTTTCTATAATTGAACTGTACCCGTGAAGCTCGTCACTACTTTCAGTCCAATCGTTAGTCCTATTGCTTACTGAGTTGGTGTACTCACGCTACATCCAGTACTTCGTGTGCAGATCCAGGTATTTTCGGACACGGTGGGTGTTGATTATCATAGCAGCTTAGTCATTCGGAGATTTCGAGGTAGTTGCCCGGCGTCTGCACGCCTTGACTCTCCATCCCTATCCTTTAGCTTTATGTATTTAGTTTCAGTTTTTTTTTTACATAGACAGTGCTTCAAACTTGTGTTATATAGACGCTCATGTACTCAATGACACCCTGGTTTTGGGAATTTCCGTATTGAGTTTTTGACTTTCTATCCAGTTTATGAGAGCTTTAATTATTTAAACCTGTTTTAGTTCACTTTTCATTTAAAACTGTTGGAAATATTTTGAGGTGTCGGCTTGCCTAGTACCACATTAGACGTCATCACGACAGCCTAAGTTTTAGGTCGCGACAGTACAAGAAATAGAAAATAAAACAACAAAGGAAAGAAAATAAAAGGCTAAACTACTGCATCCCCAGAATTCGGGGGGAGAGAACCCAGGATAAGTAGATGAATCTACCGCTGGATCGAGGTCTTGACCTTCATTAGAAATTGCAAGTGGGAATTTAACAAAGCTGAAAAATATTACTCCGTCTATCCCATGTTATGGGAGGTTCTTTCCTGTATTTTCTTTCCCAAAATAATAATATTATTTTATATTTAAAAAAAAATTAATTTTAAACTTTCTTATTTTATCACTAATAATGAGATGATTAGCTACACAATATGACTTGTTTTAGCGTACAAATATCAAAAGTCTTCGTCATTTCTTAAACTTCATGTTAAATCAATCAATATCACACAAAATGGATGGAGGGAGTACTATCATTGTCTAAATTTGTTGATTATTTGTCTTATATTTCTGATTTTTTTTTGTCGAATTGATCAGATTACTTCATGTCACTTTTAGAAAGGGCAGATTACTTCATGTCACTTTTAGAAAGGGCATGATGAAGAGTTCGTAAGAGATGATTATGGTTAATTCTTTAAAATCTTCTTTGGATGATGTTAGGACTCAAAGAAGTAATTTGAAGAACTTATTTGATGAAATAGAGATTATTTATCTTGTTAAGGGTTGCAATGTTGAAAATTGGAGGAGAAAAATTATAAATAGAGGATTTCATTTTGATTTTATGGGCGTTGCTCATTTGATTTCTTGTCTAGGATGATTAAATGAAAGTTTGTTGAGAATTTTTCATAAAGCACCATCTTTTAGGTCTAATTTGTCATTTATAGATACCCTTTGTTATATTACGTGTTATAGATACCTTTTATGTTTTTATACAATGTATTTCATGTATTTAAGTTGTTGTATTCATTAATACAACAAAAAAAATAGGCGTAAAAACTGGAATTCCAACTAAGTTTGACATGTATTTAGCTGTATTCAAGCGACATTAACGTTAAATACAATAACGTATCTGCGCAAAATCTGGAAGGTTAAACTAGTTAAAAACGGAAGGAAATCAAATCACATGATATTCTCCTAATTTAACTCAACGAACTAAAACGATCCCTCATTAATCTGTATTTGAAAGATACATAATAAAGATTATAGTTGAATAAAGAGAAATACATATGAATAATACAGTTGAGTAGAACTGTATACAGTTGAATACAACAAAATACAACTTAATTCATCTGAATAAAACACTTGAATACAACCAAATACAACTGAATAAAACTCTTGAATGCAACAAAATACAACTAACTTCTACTGAATAAAATAGTTGAATATAACTAACTACAACTGAATACAACTAAATACAGTTGTATAAAACACTTGAATACAACTAACTACTGCTGAATAAAATAGTTAAATACAACTGATTAAAACTGAATACAAGAGAATATGCATAACTTTTTAATACATCTAAAATATATAAATGAATACTACTGAATACATGTGAATACAGCTGAAATATACATTCGAATACAACTGAATACAAATAGGCGATTTGGGCGATCTAGAGAGAGAAACAGCCTTATGGCTTCGCCGGCCGGCGGCTAGCCATTAATTCCGGCTGGTCAGCCCCCTAACACATCTGCCCAACCTCCTACAATAACTACAAACAATCCCCAACCCTCAAATCCCACAAACGAAGCCATGAATTACGCAAAAGTTGTGAACCCTACTTCGACGACCACTACCAAGCAGAATCGAGCCGCTACAGTTGAACCAATTACTCTTCGTCTATCAAAATCAACGAATTAAACTTACCCTAAGCGATTGTAATGGAGTGATAATGGAGGAGAACTAGAGAATTTGGGTAGGAGAAGAGGTATGAATCGTGAGTTGAGGGAGAAAGAGTAAAGTGTATGCAAAAAGAGAGAGAGAGAGAGCGTGGTTAGTCAATTTTACCGTGATTATGTGAGAGAAAAGACTAAAAAAGAGAGAGAAAAAAATATTATTTAGCATATATGGTGTCTTAAATGTAGGATGTAACTATAATTAGATATTTGGCTATAAAGTATAAAAGGTATCTATAGAATGTAATATTTTAAAATGGTATTTATTTAAAATAAATAGGGTACTAAGATTTTCTATAGGGTGTAAAAATTCCTTATTTAAAGTGCTTTATCGGCATAGTTCTATTTTTGGACAATATTGTAAACAGTTAGTATTTGGCCAAAACGAAATGGAGGATAACCATTGTCTTATTTCTAAATATTTTTTCTATAAAAGCATGTTGAAGAGTGTTGAACAGTAGTTACGAATAGTAATTAAATAAATTATAGTTACTAGGTTTTAAACTAAAGTACTTGTGAAAATTCCTCTATCTTTAATCCAACAAACCCAAGACAAAATAAAAATTATTGGGACCACACTTTCCAAATTAGTAGAATAAAGCTTATCATTATACATTATTTCTCTGCAGAGCGGAGTTATTATTACAAATAAAAATCACTAGTAGAATAAAGCTTATCATTATACATTATTTCTCTGCAGAGCGGAGTTATTATTACAAATAAAAATCACAACAGATTCTTTTCTACCATTGATGAGGGAATCTTTGTCCACTTTCTCTTTTATTTATTTAGAAATATAAACTAGCACTCATAAATGACGAATACAACAAGAAAAAGCAAGAACAAGAGGTATCTTCTCCGGCTCAAAAATAGTGGTATTGAGTTCATATATAATAAGGATCAAAAAGACCAAAGTTGACTCCCCAGAGCTCAAATCTTCCTTTAATGAAATTATAGTAACCTCCCTTCAACGCCAAAGTCTTATTCACCAAAGCATCGCTCACAAATGGGTATGTCAGTAAATTGGCTAGTGATACATTCACAGCTTCCTGCAGTTTATTCATTTGCATTATTATATAATAAAAACAAAAGTCAAAAAGACAATTATTTGGGAGAACAAAATTTTACCATCTTACAGTATTTGAGTTGCTCTTCAAAAGTTTTGTCCCCATGTTCAGCTAGAACCTTCACCTTGTCAGGTAATCCAATTTTCACCCAATTATCAATAAAATCGCTACATCATCACATATAAGCATTTCTTCGTTAGTAACATGGCATAATTAATTGTTTAGTTAAATTCAATTTACTTAACGATATATACGTTGATTCAGATCCATCTTCTGGGAGTTACACGAGAGCCTTAATACCTCCACAGGCACTATGCCCAATGACTAAAATATTTTATACCTTAAGACGGAGAATAGCGTATTCGATTATAGCTCCTACTCCCGAGTACTTAGTCTGTTGCAATCCAATTCCAATACAAAAGTCAAGCAAACTATCAAAATTGATACAGAATATATAGAAATCAAACTGATAAATGACCTTGTCGTAAGGAGGGACCATGTTGGCGATGTTTCGAACCATAAAAGCTTTACCGAGCTGAAAATTCAGCACATGAGATGGGCTCACTCGTGAATCGGAGCAGGCAAACACCAGAAACTGTTACATGGTTGGATACTTGATTTTTCAGCGATAGAAAATTAAATTATAAAATAAAAAAAATAATATAGCTCGTATACCTTGGGTTCGTGTCCTTTCTTGAGTTTATCAAACAGTTCTGGATTTTTGTTGATACATGAAAGAAATTAGTTGGTTTATTTAATTATTATTTTATGAAAATTAATGACACACTTTTAACATGTTAGGGAAAAGAAAAAGAACGGAACGTAGAGGCTTTACTCATATATCTCTGTTTTGAAATAATAAAAGCCAGTCTTGATCCTGTCAACAGGGTCGACTGATTTGAAGCATGTCGTTTGTAATTCAGCTGTGATTTTATCAATTCTTTCTGCTGCAACCGGTTCCAGTTCTCCCTTCTCACTTCAATTGCATGATTTCCAAATCCAACACCCATAATTAATACTCTTGGTTTATTAAATTACTACTTAAGTAAGAAATGTAGATTCTTAAACAAGTGCTTTTATGTACCGCACTACATCTATTGCTCCTTTAGTAATTATTACTATATAAACATATATGTTACAATATAGTTCAACTACGTGTGTATGTATATATATATATATATATATATTACTTTTTTCTAAGAATAATCATTGAAATATTCAAGAAATTTTCAATAACTTTTGTAAGAAACTATTTAAGCAGCTAGATATTTGGAAATAATTTTGTTGAAGAAGTTTTAAAACGTAACTTTGAACAATTACTTGGGTTAAAAGCAACAACTTTGGTGCTTTTTCTAAATATTTTAAAAAAATAAAAGTATCGTATGATTCCTTTTTAAAGTATATTTCAGTTAATGTTATAGATACGATGGTCCAAATTACCTGAGGAGGTTCTGAAGTGAAACAATGGCCTTCTGGTAACTTCCCTTTGCCATGTCTTCTCTCTGCAATTCCCCATTTTTAGTCAGAATTTAGCAAACATAAGAGAACTTTTTTTTCTCTACTGTATGGTGAAATCAAAAGGTAAGAGATAGACCTTAAAACAACTGGTGAATGGGCTATTTAATGGGTAAGTTTCTATGTTTTGCTTGGGTATTAATTATTTTATTTATATGGTCTAAAAATATAAAAAGTCCACGTGGACTGTCAAGTCAGATTTTTTCACCGGAAATATTAAGAAATCCAGTTGAGTGATCATCAGTGTCAATAGGAATAGTTAGGGGACTTTCTTGTTACATATAAAAAAAATGACTTTGCTCCATAATTTCGAATAGTTTAGATCATCTCAATAATGGACTCTCCATTTTGGTTGATTTTCAAGTTTATTTAGAGCTACTACATGCACATGAAAGAATTGAAGAGTACACTTAAGAAGAAAATCGCTTCCTTTTTATCTCGTTTTTATTCTCTAGGTTCTTTATGTGTATTACGAGACAGAAGCTAACGTAATTTCGGAGATTAATAATAACAAAGTAAAAGGTGAATTAATGATAAGAGAGTCATGTATGCAATGCATTATTAACAAGATTTACTTGGCTAGATAAAAAGATATTAAAATCATCTAATTAAGTTATATGCACCAAAAATATAATTATGTAAGTATTTAAATTTTTGCATTGAACTGATTATACTCGGAAGAAATAGGTTGTAAAGTCTAGTCGCCTATAATTGCAATCAGGCTATATTTAATTTCTTAATGCAAATAATTTTTGTACTATATCATGTCGACCAAAGAATATCTATAGGTAAGCTTAAAATGTGAAATTTGTAATGTTAAAAATAAAATAAGTTAATATGCTATAACATGTCAAAATAACTTGATGATTTACAATTCAACGCTATACACAACGTAAACTCTAATATAAGCTATATATATCAATCTAAGACAAAAAGAAAGAAGGTGAATTAAGAAAAGGTGAGAAGGTATATTTATACCAAAGTGAGGTGATGATGGGAGCAGCAGCGGAAAAGAAGCTGAAGAGTTATTAAGTCTTGCAAAAACAGAGGGGAGAAGAAATTAGCTAGTAACTAATAAAACTAGTTAGCGGGTCCTCTAATCCTCTTTCTTTGTTTTTGTATACAAGTCATTATCATCTTTTTATCGAACGTTTTAGGTATGTTACATAAAATAGCCAAACGATGAAACTGTTGAAAACGATGCTGGGTAAATAAGAATTTCAATCCATTCGATCTAGTCTTCTAGATATTCTTTTGGTGATCACCATTTCTCAATTAGCTACTAATGTAAGTGGATTTATGATTTATTTAAAGTGTAATTTTTTTTTGATATATTAGTGAATTTAAATATGTGTTAGCACGTTAGTTGCCAATTTACCAGATAACCAATGAATATAATAGTTTATAAGTACTGACCTCATTATATAAATAATTTTCAGTGTATAAATTTTAAGTTCAGTGCAAGTTTTATGCCAAGCCAATAAAGTCAAGTTAATTTGGTCTGCGTAGAGAAAAGGTCTTTCAGTCTGTCCCTTACAAATATATATATATATATATATATATATATATATATATATATATGTGTGTGTGTGTGTGTGGTTACAAAATAATGGACATGTTCATTCTTCATCTCGGTTGGAAGATAAGATCTTATGTAGTTATGTTACTCTCCTGATAATTCTCTTTTTGTATTAACAAATAATATTCTACCTAGAAATTCAAATTTAAAACTAAGCCCCGTTTGTTTATAATTTTTTTTTCTTTTTTTCAATTTTTTTTTCAAAAATATTTTTGTCCATGAAAATTTGCAAGTTTTTGGAAAAAATTCGAAAATGAGTTTTTCGAAAACCAAAAAGAGGTTTTGACCACTATTTCAAAATTTTCAAAAAATATTTTTCCCTACTTACAAAACTGCAATATTTTTCAAGAGAAATGCATATCCAAATATAATTTCAAATTTAAAATACTATTTTTCAGTTTAATTCCAAATATTACTTTTTTCAAAAATTTCAATTTTTTTGTCCAAACGCCTACTAAATACGGGGTTCTCAAAGAAATGTTATAAGTACTTAAGTAGTATTAGAAGTACCAAAGTCTCCAATGTTAAATAGCATGAAAAAGATAATACAAATAAAATTTTCAATATATAACCTATGGCTTAGCTTTTCCTAAACCTAAAACATCTAGTTTTTTTTTTTTTCAACTAAAACATCTAGTTTGTACTTTTTTTTTTTTGGTTAATCAAAGCCACCTTAATGGTGGAGGTTAGGCTGACCCCTACAATAATAAAAGTAACTAATAGCAAAACACATGTACGATAGGAATGTGTAGCCTAGCCTCATCTCTACAGTTATGGGCATCTAATATCCTCCTACGTGCATCTTATGGACATCTACTGTGTACAAATTAATTATAACAAGCCAAACAACCGTTTTCCAAAATCCTGGCAACCCAAACGTGTCAACAACTGCTGAAATACTACTGAATTTTTTTTTGAGCAAACAGAAAATATATATATTAGTAATTAAATAGGGTTCAGTACATTATACGCATACTTGAGGTCTTTAAGGACACTTTGATTACCTAGGCTTGCTAGAGTGTTACGAGCATCGTAACATAGAAATTTCTCAAAAATATATTGTTCTAGTAGCTCCTTTTCCACAAAACATTTTACATAAGGTGGAGCTTCAACAAAAGTCGTCTTACCTTCCAATTGATCCTTAACCTTTCTTGTCATGTGATGAGCTACATTATTTCCATGCTTGAATGTGTGCTGGAGGAATATCTCCTTCTGTTGGTGCATTAACCACCAGCATTTATTAACAATATCGCCATATAACTTATTGCCCTGTAGGATGGATTGGATAGCCTCCACAGAATCTGTCTCTTTTGCAAGCGGGTACATTCTCCATTCCTTAGCCATTTTGAGTCCCTCTAGTAGAGCTTTTATCTCTGCTTCTAGTGATCTGCCTGCATATGATTGTTTATCAAAGCCCACAATCCAGTGTCTTTTGGCATCCCTGAAAATACCTCCCAATCCACATTTTTGTGTAACACTGTCAAAACTAGCATCAATATTAAGTTTAGACCATCCTTTTGGTGGTTTTTGCCATGCAATTTTGATGTGGATTTTTGGAGGAGTGTACGTACTTTTTTCAGTGAGGAGTTTATATTCAAGTAGCCTTTTGAATAATAAATTCACTATTGATGGGAGTAGTCGTGTTATTTTGGTTATTGTTGTTTCTATTTATCCAAGTGTACCATATAATAAAAGGAAAGAAGAGGACCCAATTAATAAAATTATTCCTAATTGGGTAGTTCAAAGATTTCAATTGGTTCAGCCAATGGTCACCTGGTGCTTCATAGTATTGATGCCACCTAACATTATCCCAAAAAAATTTGGTCGCCTTGCAGCTAAAGAAAATGTGAGCTATAGATTCTTCCTCGTTATTTCTGCATATAAGGCACATTGGATCGACGTTTATGCCAATTCGTGCTAGATATTGTCTACAGGGAATCCTATTATGGAGACATTGCTACATAAAGAATTTTATTTTGTTGGGACAATTGAGGTTCCAAACCTATTGGAAATCTACTAGGTTATTTTTTGGAGACTCTAATAAGTTGTAGCATGATTTGGATGTGAAAAAACCTTTAGTAGTTAGTTACCATATATGAATGTCATTTCTTGGTCCCTTTAGCCGGATTCTAACCTTATTGGTGGTTTCCTTAATATTGTTGGGAATATTAAGAGAAATTTTATCAAAGTCCCAATTTTTCCCATTAAATAAGTCTTTTAGTTTTAGAGATTGATTCTTTTTTTTGGAGTGGTCCTTCCACTGTTTCCCTAAGACTTCCTACCTTTGGGATCCAATTGGTTTCCCATATATTCATGTTGGAGAGAATGTGAGGAGACCAAATAATTTTTTTAGACCATAAATCCCATCCCTTTTTAATGCTTTTCCAAAGGAAAGAATTTTTATTCTTGGCATTACTAGATGTATAGGAAGAGATTAATAGAGTAGCCCAAGGAGAGGTAGCATTGGTGAGCACTCTCTATACCATACTAGCTAATGTGCATAAATTTTTTGAATTTGCATTATGGATTCCAAGTCCTCCATTTGTTTTTGATTTGCAAATGGTAGACCAATTTATATGGTGAATGTTTTTCCTCTTATTTGTTGACCCCCAGATGAAATCTTTTTGTACTTTACCTATTTTGCTAAGGGTCGTTCTGGGCAGTAAAGTGTATTGCATATAGTGATTTGGTATTGAATTTAAACAAGAATGTGAAAGCGTTGTTCTACATGCTATATTTATGAATTTCATTTTCCAAGCTGCTAGTTTAGATCTCATTTTATCAACAATGAATTGGTAGTCCCTTGGCCTAGGATAGTTATTTAAGATAGGGAACCCTAGGTAAGAACCAAAGGACTCACTTTTTTTAATTCTTAATAGGTTTGTAATATCTTTTATGATAGTTTCAGAACAATTTTTTTGAAAACATTATTTTTGATTGGTAAGGTTAATTTTTTGTCCTCAAATATTACTGAAATAGTCTAGTCCTCCCTTGATGGCGTGGCATGATTTTTTATTGGCTTTGGCCATCAAAGTGAGATCATCTGCGAAGAATAAGTGGGAAAAGTTGGACAATTCCTCCATGTGGTTATTGGATCCCAATTCCTAATATCTACTTGATGGTTTATGTATCTTGAAAGCATTTCCAAACAAAGGATTAAGATATAGGGAGAAATGGAGTCCCTTGCCTAATCCCCACTACTTGGCTCAAAAGAGTTTGTAATGGAGCCAGTAACTAGGACTGCTATCGAACTTGTTGAGATACAATTTAGTATGAGTTTTGAGAATTTGGGGGAAAATTTGAAATATTGGAGGGTCTGATGTACAAAGGACCACTCAAGTCGATCGAAAGTCTTTTCCAAATCAATTTTAAGAATCATTTGTCCTTGTTTTCCTTTTAATTTTTTTAAGTTAGAAACTAGGTCTTGGATAATGACCGCATTATCAAAAGCTCTTCTATTTTTCATGAAGCTAG